GCTCTGGACCATCGGATTAGACGGGCATGTTGTATCGTGCGAAAATCTTAGGCCCAACCGTGACCAGCCTTGACGACGGAGATAGCGGGCTCCGGAGCGGGCACGTAATGCTCGACGCCGACAAGATGCGGATGCGGGATATGCGGAGCGTCATAATGTATTCTAGTAACGTGGCCCTCTGCCTTGATGTTCAAGGGCTGCGGATGCGGGGGTGGAATGGGGGTATGCTGGGGGATGTTGAGCACATGATGAATCTGCTGTAGTAAACAATAATAAAAGATATTAATATTATAGTAATACAAGAAAAATTATTGATTATACTTTTTGAAGCTTTGTGAACAATTCAAAGCGTCTAACGCGAAACAAATTCAGAAAACGTATTATATACATGTGTATGAATATTATATAATGTATATGAATATTATAAAATAAATCTATTTGTGCTTAAATTGATTTTGTTCAACAAAATCGATAAATTTGTTGAACAAAACTATATATAATTGATTTAATATAATATAAAAATAATAACATAAAATACTAAAATAATATAGAATGGTAATTAAATATAATAAAAATTAATTGCAGAAATATTAAAAATTTTAGGAAAAAGATTTTACTTTTCCAACGAAACTTAATATTGCTACGAAATTTCTGAACAGCTATTATGAAAACAAATAGAACAAAGATAATTTAGGATGCGTATCATTAATTATGTAACGGGGTTTAAAGGCGAAACAAACGTTACATAAGCGAATTGCATCGATCATTTCGATGCAATTGAGCCGGGATTTCGTCACAGCCTCTTTATAGATCTCCAATTAAATAGGAAATCCTATTAACTAACAATCACGAACACGTATATTCCGTTGCCGGTTCAACTGCAATGTCAAGCAAAAAAGACACGCAACTACCGATCAGATCTTACAATGTAACGTAACATTAGAAATCGATCGATCATTAAACGGAAGGGAAGGCGCAATTAGTGATACAACACAAAATCACGGTATTTACTCATTTCCCGTTGCACGTCATTCTCCGAAATCTGTAATTACTGGTCCGGATTGCTACCAACTGTAATATCAAGCCACGCTGCATAATATACTAATAATATCTCTCATTAATATTACAAATTTTGCATCCGATTTCAATTTTGATAATTATATAATAATTATAATAAATCTTTAAACTTTGTATTAATTATGATAATTTATCTTCTTTGCTAAAAAATTATTCTTTAAAAAAAGAGCAAACAAATAATTGTATGATTAAAAGTTGATCTTTCTAGCAAATGTTTTTTTTATTTTTTATACTCTCGTTTATTATGTAATATATTAATATATTTATTATTTACATATAATTTAGTATGTCAAATAAAATAAATTATTTTGAATATTTTAGCAATATATATACACGGAAAAAAATGCTGTTGCTTCAATTAAAGTCTACGTCACGGGCTGCCACAAACATATATATTTCATTCAATGATTTTTTTATTAGACCAAATATCTGGATTATTAAAACAACTATCAAGATATTTGGTCCAATAAAAAGATCATTAAATAAACTATATATGTTTGTGGCAGCCCGTGACGTAGACTTTAATTGAAGCAACAGCATTTATATATATATATTCCTCTGCTATTATATCATTACTTCTTAATAACTTTAACCGATATTTTTCTTTACCATCATCTTCTGGGATAAATTGTGTATTTAGTTTATTTTTGTTGTTCCAATTCACCCTGTCAAGTTCAGCGGAGACGATTAGGCACGTGTCTACCGTGTGATTCAATACAGAATCGATCTCGATAATAATCTCTTCACCACCATTACCTTAGCGTACGATACAGGAGCGGCGACCTTGAGGTATCTCGGTGCGGGCGCAACCAAGGGAAAGGGTGCGTGCACCACCGGAGCGGCGTGCACCACTGGAGCAGCGTGCACCACAGGAGTCACCCAGGGCTGCGCGATCTGAGTTCGTCAAACATTCGCTCATACGATCGGAATCGATCACTGGTTAACACAGCCGGGTGTTACGTGAAATTACTTTCGCCGCCGAGTACGTCCAAAGCTACTCGGTCGCCGGAAGTGAGATAAATGGAACCACTCCGCATGGCGATCAGCAATGGAGTTTTAAAAGATGAAGAGTTACACGCACACAGATCGAGAGAAAATTGCGAACAGCAATAAGAATGATGTTTAATGCAAAGACGCTGACGGAAGAAAAGAATGATAGATGAAGATTAGATAACACATGTTTCGATTTATCGGTAGGAATATATAGGAAAAACCTTTGGAGTTCTTTCAAGAATGTAGAATATCAAAAATGAATGTCAAGATAAAAAATAAATGCTGTTAGACGAAACATCAGTCATGCTTGACAACGATGGCGATGGCGACAAATTTCTTTTGTAAGATTAATTTGCGAACTGAGAGATTAATAATTTTTTCCAAGATAAAATGTATAATAATTCTAAAAGTTTAAAAACCTACAAACATTTCCCTTGTAAATAATTGATTAGAAAAATTTATAGATTATACATTTATCTTGCTGAAGCGCACGAATCGTTCGAATCTTACTCTAGTAACGAAGAATGTTGAATTGTTTAAAATGGCAGAATCGTCGAGGTTTGATATAAAATTAATGGTAATTAGATGAAGAAGATTAATGAGAGTTGAATAACTCCATTAAATTCTAGTATGATTAATCATGATGATTAAATTCAGAGAAGCGATAGTAAATCTACAAAGAATTTATATTGTGTTACAATAAAATAGTATTAATGTTATATTATATGCATGTATATTGTATTTTATATATAAAGCACAAAGAAAAGTGATAACAGAGAAATAATATTTATTATAAAATGTGTAAAAAAATAGTATTTATTAAAAAAGTACTTACTGGCTCATGATATCCGCTGATAATTCCAGCGCTGGCGGCCGCTACAACGGCAAACAAAACAATCTGTAAAATACAATAACATATTGCAATTTAATAAAATAATAATAATAAGTAATAAAAATCAAAAAATGTATGTAAAAATATATATGATTAATTATCAGTATCATATTAAATTATAAATCAAATATTGAATTAAATTAATATTTTGTATATTTTTTACTTGATTTTTGAATGTGTTATGTAGAAAAGTTTAGATTGCGAGTTGTATGACAAAAGATGCATGTTACACTTTAAATTATATTACATAAAGCAAGGGCAAATACTGCATAAAGCTACTAGACATATGCAATACTTGTGCAACAGTATCGCGTAATAGAGAATCTTCGGGGAACAATCGCAAGTGAATTATTCCGCAACGGGTCCGCAACGGCAAACTTTTACTTCCTGCGTTATACTTGCGCGAGGAGAAACTTACGAAGAACTTCATGGTGTGTGTGATGAGAGTTTTTCTTTGCTCGCTACACGGGAGAACACTACGTGTTTGAGGGGCAACGCAGTATGCTTTTATAGCAAAGCCCTGCCCAGGCCCAGGGGAACTCAGGGATGAGGCCGGGGGGCGACACTCGACGATTGCACCGCTTCGGATGCGGACCCCTTTCACTAATAGCGCGATCGACCCTTTCGAATCCCTTATCGGGAATTCAAGAGCACCAATCAACGACGATCAATCATAACTTCCGGTTCCGAACACCCTTGAGGATACCTAAGGACTATAGACCATTGAAGAAGGATGGACCACAGATTCTGTGGATGAAATCCGTATATCGTTAACCTAGTTTGTTAGAAAAAGCAGATTGTTGTTCGCATCGAAGAATGCGGGTTAAATCATGACTCTAGATCGCTTTTAGATTTATCAACAATTTATAAAATCTAAATATTTTCTATTTTTTTAAATTTTACGCTTCGCGCGGGGAAAGTAGATTTATATAAAGCTAAATTATAACGTTCCGCAAGATTTCACGCATAAAGAAATTTATACGTGTAAAGCTATTAGATTTAACAATAAGTCAAAAGGTTAAATCACATCAAACATAAAATTACATAAAATAATTAAATAAGAAATATATCAAATATTAATCTGATTTTTAATTTAGAATTTGATAAAATACTAAAGCTAAATAACACTGAATAATACTCGCCACACGTGATTTTATTACATTTTGCAATTTTCTGAAATATTTTGGAATTAAAACAAACAAGTTTTATTAAAAAAATAGAAAATTTTTTTTGAGAGAAACAAGCACATAGCTTGTGTGTATGTAAATATTAAATAGCGTTGCAGAATATTATTAAAATTAATAACAAATAATAATATTAAAATATGAATATTATTAGATTATTAAGTGTGTATTAATATTATCAGTATTATTAATTCTAAACGCAATTTTTGATTCAACTTAATATTTTTTATGTGATTTAAAATTTATAATAATCACAAATTTCTCTAATTTGCGTTTTACTACATATTTATTAATATTTAAATATGTTTTAATTGTTTTATTTCAAAATACAGGTTTCTATTTCAAAATATACAGATTGCTATATAAAAGATTTATTGCGCGAATAAATTGTACAACCCCAACCTCCGATACCGCATCACAATCGTCTTAACAAGCATTGTCGATCGATCACTTTTAGATTCACGAATCACAATCGTGATATTGATCACAATACGTTAAATCACATTGCGGTTACTAACGTGGCATGTAGCTCGTAAAGTATCCGGCTTATGTGTTGAGTGTACAGTGTACAAGTTGATGGAGCGGCTCTGATTAGGATGTAACACACAACCGAGGAAAATGTGGCATGAGAAAGAAAACGTCGGAACGTTTTTACAACTTGCGTAAAAGGGTCATACACTCTATATCTATATAAAACAATCGTCTATATCTCGCTATTACGCGCTGTAATTTCATCAAATAAGAAAATAATAAGCGTGTAATAACGCAATCGCACTATAACTCTCTGAAATAGAAAATACGGTCATCATCTACCTTTCTCAAATGATTTCTCGCGACAGTGTAATAATATTTAAGAAGTTTGCTGTCAATTAAGACAAATTTGGCAGAAACACAAGAAACAATGAATTTTTGCAACCCGAATCCTACATCGATTTTGCAATCAAACGAAATATGCACTCGACATACGTACATATTTTGGACAAAAAGGACAAGAATCGATCTTTACAATCGCAGCCCATAAGAACGCGTCATTTCGACAATCCAACTAAATTTTTTTTTCCGCGATGTGATTTTCTGATTTATATATTTCTAGTTAATTTACGGTGTACACACAGAGAATGTAACATATCGATATCGTATATTAATTTCACAATAATGAAATCCGCATTTCTTTAATTTCTCGCCTCTTTAGTTTCATTAATTTACAATATAGTTCTATTTTATTTTATTACGCGCGTGAATTAATTTTGCAATCTGCGTTTTTCCATCGATGTTTAACTCTTTGTGCGAGGAAAACCGTGCGATCTTTTTCCTCTGTTCCCTCTAGTCATTCGTTTCACTAGAATCGTGTCGAAATCGCTATTATTCTGAGAAGGCAGTGTACATGCACATTCCGTTAATATAATAGAACTATTATTATTACCGTGTGGACTAATTAGATAATATGTAACATTACGAATAAGATAGCTTTTTTAATAGATGTAAGAACTTCTTACAAATCCTAAGAAATTTTTAGAAAAGAATGATATAAAAAGATTCGTAAATAAAATTTTTTCTCTACTTGCGTTTAGACAAATTTAATAAAAAAGTTTTATTAACATTGCCAATAACATAAATAGTAGTGAGAACCAACAACTGATTAATTTATAATATTTATATAAACAGAAATATTTTTTTCTTATTCCTTCTACGAAACCAAAAAAATTCTTCAATTGCACATTGTAAAATTTGTACATTTTGTACATATAGTTGTTTTGAATTTTTCAATATTTAATAGTTCTAGCAATTCTCCCTCCATGTATCATTCACCCTCGGGTCTAATAAACGCACATTTAACGAACGGCGCTAATTTCGCAACTAACACTAAAGGTAGTTATAGCCATGAACGCATTTACTTCTGGGTCACATCGGAGAGTACATCTGTCTCTTTCTCTTTATCTCTCTCTCTCTCTCTCTCTCCCTCCGTAAAAGCGTAGTTACGATTTACGCAAGTGCGATATCGTCGTTTCCGAACGATGAAAATAAACGCCCTCGTGTTTCTTCGTCATCGGTCGCGCTTTTTCAGACTGATTAACAATTACCGAAACAGTATAAGAACAACGCGGTGTAAAAATAATGATTTGCGCAACACGATCCATTATATTTCTCTCCCGCGAGTGTATCTCTGCGCGGAGAAACAACCCTGTCCACCGCGGATGTTAATACCCTATGCGATGTTGAACGCGCAGTACGTTGCAAAATCTGGAAAGTTTAACGATTCCAATTATTTTGTAACGCCACGCGCTCGCGTTGTTTGAATCATAACAGACAGATAAAGAGAGAGAGAGTAAGAAAGAAAATAAAAGAGAGAGGGAGATGAACGTGTGTACTCGTTAGTGCAGAGCATGCGAGAAATATTAATGCTCATGTTATATCGAGCAATGTGATACCTGAGGGAGATACATTTTTACATACGTAATGTCTTAAAAAAATAGAGATCTTTTACGTACGTAATGCTTTAAAAAATTCTATAAAATTAAAAACGTATCAAGTTGCAAGAAAAAAAGAGAGAGTGGAAGAGAGAAAGAATGGGAGAAAAAGAAAGAGAGAGAGGAACATTATTATTAATCAACGAGATTTAATTCATGTCTATATATAACAATGTAAGAGAAAAATATTAATAAAGCAACAAAAAAATTATAAAATGTAACAATATAAACAAATATATATATTGTGTATTTTTGAGATCACCTAAATTTTGAGATTATGTGTGCGTATAGATGTATACTTGTGTATAAACGATTTCTAGATATAAAAAAAGTCAAAAATGCAGATTAACTCGCATGCACATCATCGCCGCAGTCCGGATGCGCTTTCCCCCGCGAGAAGCACATTGCTGTAATGCATGCATCGGCTGCAATCAATAAACCGATCTCGGGCACGTGAACAAAGCAGCTTCTGCATGTAACACATAGTACGTTAATCGGATTGCAAATACTATGCGGCTATTTCATATATTTATTTTTTGCCCAGACGTATAAATTCATTTATTTAATTTTTTTTTTTTTTTTTTTTTTATTCAAAAATAGAATTATGCTCGTTTGAATGAATCAATACATCATAAGAGAATATCAGAATAAAAGAATATCGGATATCATCTTTTCACACATTCTTTTTATATAAAAATTTTCTTAGTTATTTCAAATAAGAAGGCAAGTTCTTTCCAATATTCTAAATACGAGCAGTAACTCTACAAGACAGTAAGATTGTAAAGATTTTATGCTTTCACACAATATTGCTAAATTATAAAAAAGATCTTTCATACATCAAGATGTCGAAATGGCTCTGAACTATCGTAATTATCTGTGTTCGTTCAGTATCCCTTTTTGCGCACTGGGTCGAGACATAATCGCGAAAACGCAATCCAAATCGCGACTCGCAAGACGTAAATGCTAAATAAAGTGAATGTTGCAATTAGCGGTTAATAAGTGCGCGAACCATTGCGAGTGAATCATCCATCAGCGGCGAGTCATGATTTACGCGCATCTGACCGTGAAAACCAAAAATCAAATAAACCGACGACGAAAAAGACGTTAAATCGTAGCTCGTTCCTACGATTTCTATCGCGAATACAATTTCGATGTATTGATATTCAAATTTCGCTCGTTATTAATGGCTCCATTTACGGCACTTCCGTAACATATTGCATTGTGTTTATGACAATCTGATTGTTCCATTGCGCGGAGAAGCGATTTCGCACAGTAGCGAAACGCGGATCGCGCACCAAAACGCGCGAAAGTATTCGCGGATAAGTGCCGATGAGAAAATCATTTAAACAAGTGAGATTCTTTACATAAGGTGATTTACGTAAAGAACTTTCGTTGAAAAAAATCGCAATGTGTAAGGATTCAATTTATTAAGATTGAGCTTTCTCTTAGTTGAATTCAAAAAACTGCGATATATATAGGATTCAATTTATTAGGATTGAGCTTTCTCTTAGTTGAATTTATATCGCATATGATTCGAATTTATATAGAAGAGAGAAAATGTATAAAAATGTTTCTAGAATTGAGATGTTGTAAATGTATGTAAATGTTGTATGTGAATGCCGATCAATGATGCCTTATTTTCATCAAACGCAACGAGCAATGTCGATGACGATCGGTTTTTATATCCGCCACCTGAAATCAAGTGCTCCACATTTCCATCCAAGGGCGAGATAATCATTAGAAGAATTTTATTCACTCAAGATATCAAGAATCTCTCGTCTTTTTTAACTTTTATTTTATACATATACACGATACGTAGAGAAA